TTTATCCCAGCATATGTTAGTTCCCCTGGGAAGTTTACAGTAGCTGTGGAAATATTTGCTATTTTAGCTTCTAGTTTTGGATTGATCTTCTGCATTTTTGTTCCTAAATGTTATATTATAATATTGAAACCTGAAAGGAATACAAAAAAACACATGATAGGTAAGATGCCCTCAAAATCTCTTTAAAATATCAAGACAACCAAGTTAATAAATGTTTTACTCTTTTAAAAATGCACAGATTTGCTCTATATTGAAGGAAAAAACAGTTTCAAGACTAAAACCATGTTAACAGCGTTTTTTTCTTTTACAAATAACAATAAAATGAAATGAATATCAAACATGTTTCAGATTTCAGAATAAAGCCTCCTAATAAGAAACTTGGTTTCATTTTCTTCATATGTACACTTAATATAACACTTGGTGGTGACAGACTCTGCACTGATGGATAACTCTTAATATTATTGCATCATTTTCAGTTCTTTGCCAAATAAAAACGAGCAGGCTTGCTGTAAAGATAATGCACCGAATCTTCCCATGAGGAAAACTGTGTAAAATCTGCACATTTCATTGTATAATTAATAAGGCAGGTGGTTTTCCCACAAGGAACATAAAGCCCTTTGTGTGTCAAAGTACAAAGCCGAAAACAGCACAGAAAAAAATATAGCTCAATTGGACATATTGGCTTTCAGCAAACTCCAGCACCTGAAACAGATGCTTTGTGCTGACACTTTTCTTTACAGAAAAATAAATACAACCCAGCCTGCTTAAAAAAATACGTTTGCTCCATTTCACCAAAAACTGTAAAGTAGTTGTTGAAGAGTTCACTGCATAATATTTACATGTATATTGGCAATTTGTTAATATGGTACATTTTCCATACTGCCTAGAAAAGCAGAAGACGCAAATGACCTTATGCCAAATTAGATATACTGTATAAGAAATATGATGAGTCATATTATTTTGAATGACTAAAATAATGTGCGCTATATGTTACATTAATTACATGAAAAATTATGTTAGTCTGAGAACGTCAAAACAACACTCTCCAATATGACGTAATTTATTCATTACAATTTTCCATGTGATGACTTTTCAGTTTGTTCATTTGGCACAGACACTACAGAACGAATCCCTATATGTTTACTTGGAAGCCATTCAAAGACAATGAGCCCTGAGGGAGTATGGCAAACAGTTATTTAAGTAACTGTACTATTTCATTCTGTCAGTCCAGAGGACCTTCAAAATCCTTTCTTACAGGCACTGTAAACACTTATCAAAATTGAAACATCTCATCTGTTAATTGAGTTGAATACTCTTAATGATGCCAGGAAGATTTCAATTTTCTCAACCCTGATGCTGCTCAGCTTCCCACAGGCAGGATAATGAGTAATACACAGCATTATAAACCTCGAAATCACATTCTAGAATTAAATTTTACCTTAAACACAGTCTTATACCAAAAAAGCTTAAAATACGTTTTTTACCAAAGCCGCTTTACAAAAAATGCTTCTGACGGACAAAACCAATTACACTATCTTATTTTAGTCTCCTCATTTGTTTTAACTGCAGAACAAATATATTACACAGCACACAAATCTGGCTGTGTTTCAATGATGAATGCTACTATGCTACTTAAATGTATTTTAACTTATTTGTGCACCTTTATAGCTTGATTGATGAGCTTCAGCACAAGCGTTCAATCAATCACTTTGCACTCTGCGTTTAGTAATCAAGAAAAATTATCTGTATCTTTTAAAATGAGGGAAGATGTCAAAGCAACATTGGCAAAGTAAACATTTAACCATTATAGTCATTAATTTATCTGACATATATCTAAGTACCTCTGCTCCCTCAAAATGAACATGGCTCATGCACAGTTTCAATTTTATAGAACAGCAAAAGGCCAAGAACCTGTCAGCCTGCCAGTCAATGCCTTGTTCTGGACCAGAAATAAACTCGATATGACATAGAAGCTCTTCATTAAAAGAAGAAAAGGCTTGCCTGTGCACTCCTGACTGCAGAAAATAAACGAGTGCTTTTTGATCTAGATCTCAGGCAGGCCCTTTAGGCGAGAGCTGTCAACCAGTTTGGTGTAGGCCATTCGGCCTCATACAGTATATCATATATCTGACACTTTTATTACTTGATGTGGATTTTTTCCACATTCCGTTAAGTTCATTTGACTGTTGTAATGGAAGCACCGAGCACCTCCGCCATACGCTGACTGCAATCCTAACCACGTTAAAAGTAAACAAAACCTCGTGGCAAAACATTAATTTAATGTATTTTTTAAATTCCAGATATCTGGTCATTAAAAGCTTTTCAGCAGTCCCGTCATTTTAATCACTCGACGCTGCAATTAAACCGCACAAAGAAACGAAGAGCCCACTCGCATCCTCAAAATCAACGTAAATGTCAAGGTTAATGCCACAATGGGCAGAGAGAATCATTCAAGGCCTGTTAAACAATAACAACGTGTTTCACTGAGTTTTATTTCTCCTGGGGCAAACCAGATCGGATATGTCACTGTTGAGAATAACTCCCGCCTCTTCAGCATGGGCTACGCACACATTAACCACCCTTGAGCCTTTCTGTCCTGCAGTATATAAGCATGAGAACATTGTGAAGTCCATCCTCCTTTGTCTTGGGATGTTGCTTCTCACAGGCTTACTAGCTCTTCATCTGACCCATGCAAGACCCACATGTAGACTACAGGGAACCCCAGGCTTACTTCAGTTTTCAAAAGATGGAGACTTTGTGATCGGAGGGATCATTTCGATCCACAATGAAATCAATACAGTGAAACATGCCTTCAAAAACACGCCTTCTCCGCAAAAATGTAAAAGGTTAGTAAAAGTAAAAGTCACTCTTTTTGATGAATCCTCTGTCATTTCTTCTTGGCCTAAATGGGGCTTTGAATTCACAGTTACATGACACAGCAGAAATTCTGAGATACTGTAGATAAAATATGTCATTTAAAGTTGAATTAAGATGTTTCTACAAGCGGTTCAAATAAGATTTAAAGGACAAACTTTGACTAAAACGTTATTATTCAATGTAATGCTATTATTCAAATACCATTCAAATGTTACAACACACTACGATTGAAATGACATCTTCATGTACTTATTATATTTCTCCAAACAGAATTTAGCTGTTCTGTAATATTGTATTAGCAAATATCTGACAACACAAACATGACTGAGAGTATATTAAAGGTATATCTTACGTTAAGACGTTATTAAACCCAGTTTCTTTATAGTTTAGATCTCAGAGAGCTTCGATTTGCTCGGGCAATGATCTTTGCCATCGAGGAGATAAACAACAGTTCAGAGATCCTTCCCGGAGTCACACTGGGCTACAGGATCTATGATTCTTGTGCAGCTATACCAGTGGCTCTGAAAGCTGCCCTTGATTTGATGAACGGGCAGGAGGCAGTTTTTTCCACCAACACCTCTTGCACCAAACCAGCCTTTGTCCCAGCCATAGTGGCGGAGTCTGGATCTACACCTACAATAGCCATTTCCAGAGTTGTTGGGCCCTTCAGCATTCCAGTGGTAAGGTTTTAACAAGACAACTCTTTTAACAATACCACGTGATTTACTGTCCTGCTTGAACCTCACAGTAGACCCCTCTGATTTACTGATTTAATTCTGACTTACATAAAAGTACTGCTAGAGTTCAAAAACAATCTGCCATTGTTCACCATTCTAGATAATCTGGTAGATTTGGCCAAGACCTTGATATACAAAGGTATATAGTGGTTCAACTGAAAACAATTCAAGTCATCAGCACTATTTCTACCATTAATTAAATAAAAGATTAATTTTGTTTTATACTCTACCAACTTGACACCGACAGCTCTTACTCTTAAAGCCATGTATTAAACAGGCATACAGTATTGTGACAAAATGTCTTTACTTAGAGAACTGTTCTAGATATTGAGGAACTTTTGGGAAACCTACCCTCTAAATACTTTATTTTAATTACAGGTGAGTTATTTTGCTACATGTGCTTGTCTGAGCAACAAACACGATTTCCCAACGTTTTTCAGAACGATCCCCAGCGATTATTTCCAGGCAACAGCCCTGGCACAGCTTGTCAAACACTTCGGATGGACTTGGATTGGCGCAGTAAGAAGTGATAACGATTACGGAAACTTCGGGATGGCAGCGTTCTTACAAGCAGCCCAAGCAGAAGGCATTTGTATCGAATATTCGGAAGCCTTTTACAGAACAAATCCCAGGGAGAAAATTCTGAAAGTTGTGGATGTCATAAAGAAATCCACTGCAAAGGTTATTGTTGCATTCCTTGCAACAGGTGACATGCTTGTTCTGCTTCAGGAATTATCCACTCAGGATATTCCTGCCTTGCAGTGGGTAGGCAGTGAAACTTGGCTCACTGATCCAGAGGTCCTGCATTACAACCTGTTGAGTGGATCGATAGGATTTGGCATCCCAAAATCCGTTATTCCAGGGTTGAAAGAGTTCCTGGTGAAGATCAGTCCAGCTGAGATCGCCAGCAGCCCCCTGCTGACAGAGTTTTGGGAGAGTGCTTTCAGCTGTAGCTTCTCAGCTAACAACACCTCTTCAAGCAAGAAAGTGTGCACAGGGTCAGAGAATTTACGAGAACTGCAAAACCCCTACACAGATGCGTCTCAGTTAAGAATTACTTATAAAGTGTACAAAGCAGTCTATGCTATCGCTCATTCGATTCATAATCAGATATGCAAGAATTCTCCATCTTCTCTTTTGCAGTGTGAGAAAAACATAAAGCTTGAGCCATGGCAGGTAAGATGACTTTTATCTCCGAAATAAATGATGCACTGTGATAATTAAACAAATGAGAAGAAAATGTTTATGAATATGTACCAAACCATGTGAACCAAAGTATAATTTTTTTCAGCCTTGAAAACAACCTTTAATTCAAGCCATCATTTAGTTATCTCCTTGTGCAGATTCTGAATATAACACTGTTTAACAGAACCACTCACATAACCACATAGCTGACTTCCTTACTGCAGGTACTGCAGCAGCTTAAAACTGTGAATTTCACAACCAAGAGTGGGGACAGAGTTTACTTTGATGCAAATGGAGACCCAGCAGCCACCTATGAGCTGGTAAACTGGCAGGTGAATGAAGAAGGAAAAGCCCAGTTACTGACAGTCGGCCACTATGATGCATCAGCACCTGAGGGACAGACCTTTACAATGAACGACAGAACTATCATCTGGGCAGGAGGGAAAAGCAAGGTGAA